CTGCTTTGAAATATTTATAGGGAATTAAAATGAGAAACTGCCCACCGAATGAAAGTGTGTGAATCTCGGAACACGCAGAGTGGGTCCAGAGGTCACCTGTGCGTCAGGCATGAGAACGTCCCGGAGGTCAGGGACCACAAGGGAATCCAGGGTGTCTTTGTGTCTGAAATTAGCTTGGTCTGAAACGAACTGTGTCTGTGCTATTTCCAGGATTCAAAATGTCTTTCTTTAATGACTCCAAATAAAGTCAAGCCTATTTTCCAAATGTTGGAACGAAAAGAATGCCATAAACATTTTTGTTTAAATCTCCTGTGATGCTTGAACTATACCCCACTCAGTAGCAAAAAGCCATGAATATCCCTTTCAAACACATCTACAGCAGTTATTGCTGTTAAATGATAGATTTAGTAGCTAGGCAACACTTTTGTAATAAAATTAAGAAATAGTTTAGGGACAATGAATTGTTGATGTTAGACAGTTTACCTGTGTGACCGGTGTGCTACAGAGGAGTCATGGGTCTTTCTGGTTTATAACATTAGTATAAACTTCAGTAAGATCTCCTTGAACCTTCAAAAGTCAGGTCTTACTAACAAGGTGATTTGGTAAACGCTTGGTAAAAGCCCTCAGTCAGTATCCAGAATCTGTATAGTTTTGCTAGTAGTATACTGGTACGTGCCTAGAGTTGTTAACTTTCTCGTGAAGAAAAGTGTACATGACTTCATGTGAAGAGAATGACGCTGAAAATATCCCATCAGTCTCAGTTTCAGGTTAGTGTCAAGAATTGTTTTAGTGGTCTAGTATCAGTATTTGTTTCTTTGCTTGTGTTCCTTGGGATGCTTTTTTGCCATTTCTTCACATTACATTGTAAAGTGGGAAGGCTTAGGAAGTCAGGAGTAAAAAGCTTTCACTCTAAATGGCTCTTAAGCCGTTTCATTTGATAAGACCAGTTCCTGGTGTTGCCATTATGCGATGTGAAAACATAAAATGGGTTTTGTGCGTTTTGAAATCCCACAGAGTGCTTTTGCACTTTGCTTGCCGTTGCTTGTGAACTCAGGCATGTGTTTGTTGAATCTGCTGTGAGCCGTTTTCAAAACGCCCGTGACTGCTGCCATGGCCAGAGCAGGTTTTAATAATGCCTTAACGGGTTCTTGTAGTATGTTGTTGTTTTTAACTTTCCCCTGCAAGCACCTCCTGCGACTGTCCGTTAATTCTGGTTAATCTCATTTTGTTTCCTCGAAAGACGCTTGGCCTAGACAAGGACGAGGCTGTGAAGGCGGATTTACTGTGGATTGTCAGGGACTGTTCCTTCACAACTCCCTCTAGCTGCTCTGGATTCATGTGTCATGGCTTGCTCTTTAACAGTCTCTCCTTTTTCAGTTCACGTTTGTCATTATACTCATACACAGGTATATGGTATAACGAAATGCTGTTTAGCGAGATTCTTAGACGGTCAGTAGTGCAAACAAATGACCATACAACTGTCAATTCAATTCAGTTTATTTTTTTATATAGCGCCTTTCACCACAAGGTTGCCCCAAGGCGCTTAAATGTAATTGTGTAACAAAATAAAGACTGAGACAACAGGCAATGTACAAAAAAAACAACAGGTAATGTGCAAAACAACAGTTGTGCAAAATCAGAAGTCAACAGATTGAAATAAAGGATAAAAAATGATGGAAAGTAAACATCCTGACGTGTGTGGTAGAGGTAGATTTCAAAGTGCTGTTTAGGTTGATGAAGAGAGAAGGCACAGGGCAGTCCCAGCGCTAGCCCCCTCTGTGCGTGCCAGGGTGCTCCAGCTTGGTTTTTGCGGGTTCCGGTCCACACGGTCACTCTTGGGGAGTCCACAGCAGCA